TTTTGGTTTTCTGACTCCAGATCTTTGCACATTTCATTGTAGTATTTGACTTTGTCTTCTTGAACTGACCTTTGAAATTTTCCATTCAGCTCTTGTACCTTGTTCATGTCTTCCATTTGCTTTAGCATCTCCACGCATATATAGTGGTTACATGCCATGGAGTCAGTTCTGACTCAAAGTGACTCTGTGTCGGATTTCTCAGGAGTGGCTGGTGACGTAGTAGCTCAAACCAACCTTGCAGCCCAGTGCATTAACCCGCAGCATGACACCAGGAGATTCTCTGTCTCTCTGTCTCTTGATCTGTATATCTATGTATAGTGGTTACTTGCTATGAAGTCGGTTCTGACTCATAGCGACCCTGTATAGGGTTTCCGAGACTGTAATTTTACAGGAGTAGAAAACCTCATCTTTATCATAGATATATGATTAATGATGCTTTACTTTAAGTTTCATAAATAAATCCCCATAAAGTTGGAGATTCTCAAAGATGATTGTTATGGATTAAAAGTCGAATTCCCATGGAGGGGATTGTAATCATTGCAATTAAATGAAATACGATAGGATCAATGTTCTCCCATGTAAACTATTACTCAATTCACAACAAAATCCCTGAACCTCTGAATGTGACCCCGTTTGGACGCAGAGAATTTGAATGTATGGTCACTTAGGTTAACATGTGGTCACACGGGAGTGTGTGGCTCTTAACCAATTTAAGTAGTGTGCTGTCAAAGAGAAGGGACACACAGGGGAGACAGCCATGTGAAGACACAAGCAGACACAGCTAAAAGCCAAGGCGTGCCAAGGTTTCCAGGAGCCACCGGTAGCTGGCAGAGAGGCACCGGTGCCCACAGCTCTTCTCTGGAGTCTCAGACGGGGGGTCAGCATCATCGGTGCTTGCATTTGGACGTCTAGCCTCCAGAACTGTGAAGCTATGTTGTTGCTGGGGGTCTTCAAGTCAGTCTCCACTCATAGCGACCTTATTATGCACAACAGAACCAAATTCTGCCAGGTCCTGGCCAGTGAGAGCCTGGTCCTATAAAACAGCAGCCCCAGGAAGCCAATTAAAAGACTCCAAATGCAAGACCACACAGGTTAGATATTCAACTGGACAAGTAGGAGAAAAAGCTGTTTGGATGTGGTAAGTGGAGATGGCCTGTGTATCGGAGACCTTCACCAAGTCTGAGACGTGACCTGGTTCTTTCGTCCTCATTTCAAATCTGACAGACAATCATTGGAACAAGGAGGAACTAAAGCAGAGAAGCCCTTCTCCAGCAGAACTAAGATGCTCGGGCTCCTGCCATCCACCCCCTTGCAGACTGGTTTCAGTTCTGCAGGGCACTCTGGCAGTGCTGGCCCCCACCCCTCATTCATGCAGATGCAGCCTGGTGGACACAGCCCTGCCCAGCAGTCCCCTGGGGAAAGTGCCATCAGTCAATCCCCTCTGGTTTCCATTTGGAGTCCCTGGGTGGTGGAAATGGTGAACGCTCTCAGCCTGCTGTTTAAAGAGGTTGGAGGTTCAAGTCCACGCAGCGGCACCACAGAAGAAAAGCCCTGACAACCCATTTCTGATAAGTCAGCCTTTGAAGTGCCGCCCTGACACCCAGTGGCCTTGAGCCGGAGTCGGCTTGAAGGCAATTGGGTTGGTATTTGCTGCATCCCTGGGTGATGCAAATGGTTAATGTACTCAGCTAGTAACCAAGAGGTTGGAAGTGTGAGTCCACCAAGGGTGCCTTGGAAGAAATGCCTGGCAACCTACTTCCTCTAAAACCAACTTTTGAAAACCCTCCTGATACACATGGGGTGGCCTTGAGTGGGAAGCAACTTGGCGGCAACCATCTGTTGTTGTGACTGTCTTTTTCATTTGACTCTCAACTGTGTTTTTGCCTCATCGTCTCAAAGAGCAGCCTGCCTCCCCCAACACCACTAGTTCATGAGTCAAGGTCAGAGGTATGCCATACTGGAAACCCCCACTCAGGGCCCAGAGTGGGGGGGTCCATGAATCACTGTGCCCACTTCCCCTGCTGCTTCCTGCGGGGCTAACATTCCTCCCCAATCTTCTGTTCTTTCTCAGGCTCCTTTGGAATTTCCAGAATGGCTCTTGCTCCACCCCACCTGCTGTTGAGAGAGCAACACTGTGGTCAGCACAAGTGGGGAGTTGGTGGGTCAGCACTGATATGAGTTAGCTATGTCTGAGGGGCAACGAGGGGGCTGGCATGGGGACTTATTATTTTAAAAAAACAACAACAGAGAAAAGCAGGGGGAAAAATAGGCAAGCCACAGACTGGGAGACAATACTTATACACCAGCCATAGATAAAGGACTTATAAAATGTGTGTGTGTGCACGAGGATATCCTTGTCACCATCTCTCAAAGGGCAAAGCCAGGACACACCAATGAGGAAAAGTTAGAAAAAATGTGGGTTTTGCTATTTCAAAACGCCTTGCAGAGTAACCATAAGGGGAATTCAAAACCCTGTTCAGCTTCCTTCTGTTTCTGTTTCAGTTCTGGTTTTATTTTGAATTCTATAAGGAGGGGCAGGGCAGCTCTGTTATCCTTTTAACCTTGTTGTTTGGTTGTTAATAGGGATTCTGTGACTGTAAATCTTTGTGGGAGCAGAAAGCCTTACCTTTCTCCCTCGGCATGACTGGTGGGCTTGAACTGCCAACCTTGTGGTTCGCAGCCTGGTGCTTACCCTACAAATCCACCACGCTCCCCTTTTAGTCTTGTTAATTGTCCTAGAATCAATTTGGACTCACAGCAACCCATAAGGTTTCCGAGGAGCGGTTGGTGGGTTTGAACCACTGACCCTATGGTTTGCAGTCCAGTGCTGAGCCTACGGGACCATAGCAGGATGATCTAAAAATCCTCAGTGAGACTAATTCTTTAGACCCCTGAGAGTTAGAGGGACCAGGGGAAAACGTGACAAAAATGCTGGTGATTGTAGGGTGATAGATGGGTCAGTGTTTTATTCTCTTGTAGTAAGGTCACCGTGAGACAGCGGTTACTCAGTGTCAATGATTGAAGTCTGTCTTGTCTGTTGTTAGGTGCCAGCTAGTCAGTTTCAACTCAGGAACCCCAAGGACTGCCCAGTCTTCGGCCATCCCCACAATCATTGCTAAGTTTGAGCAAGCAGTCTGGCTGCTACTGGTCAATCCATCTTGTTGAGGATCATCTTCTTTCTCTCTGATCTTCTACTTTAACACGGCCCTGCCTAACCAGGCTAAATTCCAACAGCATCTCTTTGTGGTTCACAGAGACCATTCCCGCGTCCTAGCGCGAATGAGAGAAGCTGCCAAAGTCACCATTGTAAATGGCGACGACTCTGCGCCTGGCCGTGGGTAACTACAACTCCCAGCAACCCTCCGCGCGCACGGTCCTCGGCGGCCGCCGTCGTGTACGTCACGTGGCCTGCCGGCGCCGGGTCACGGGGACAAACACCCGGGCTCTTCTGGACGGGCTCTCCTGTCTTCGGCCGGCCATGGCCAACGTCTCCAAGAAGGTGTCGTGGTCCGGTCGCGACCTGGACGACGAGGAAGCGACTCCGCTGTTGCGGAGGACGGTACGGTCTGGAGCGCCGCCCGGCGAGGGGACGCCGCTGCTGAACGGCGCCGGGCCCGCGGCTCGCCAGGTGAAGCCGGGTGCCTCGGGAAAACAGAAGCTTTGAACCCGTTCGGGTGGGCCTGCTGGTGGGGGCACCGGGAGGAGGGTGTGCGGTTCTGACACGTGAAAGACGCGTGCCGCCGTGGACCCCGAGTGCTGAGGTTTTCTGGGCGTCCGTCCCGGCCGACCCCCGTGCTAACTCTGAATAGAGGACGATGTGGTGTTTTCGTCCTAGGATCGGGCGGTCGAGCCCCGAAGGGATCGGGAGCTTGAGCCCCGAAGGGATCGGGAGCTTGCTCAGTGACAAAGCCAGCGCGAGAGCCTGCTCTCCGGTCCATTCCGACTCCGATCTACCCCACGTGACAGTAGAACTGCCCGGGTGGTTTTATAGGCTGTAGTGCAGTGCTAGGCTGATAACTACAAGGTTGAGAGTTCGAACCCTCCATTCCCTCTTCGAGGAAAAGGTGTGGCAGTCTACGCCCGTAAAGATTTACACCCTCTGGTGGGTTTTCTATGGGTCCGTTTTACTCTGCCCTTTAGGGCTGCTGTGAATCCGAATCAACTCCAATTTCGATTTTGAAACTCTTAAGGGAACAGATCGCCAGACTTTTCTCCCGCTAAAACGCTGGGTTGTTCCAATCGCCAACCTTGTCATTAGCAGCCGAGTGCTTAACCATTGTGCCACCAGGGCTCCTTTGCAAGGAAACGTCTGCCCTGGGATTATGGAGTTTTCAGGAAGCCCTGGGTCAGGTGACCAGTAGGGTTGAACTCACCGTGGGGCTCTGCACTGGTTTTATGAGCGTGGAGGGCAAACAACGTCTGGCTTGTCCTTGGCTTCCACAAAATGAGTTTTATTTCTTTAGCGTTTCCTAAATGGCTTTCGGGAACAGTTTTAGCTGGAATGACTCTAGAAAATTCTAATAAATATGTGAGCAACTATATCGTGTTTTTTTGGATTGGGGTTTTAAATTGAAACTGTAACAATTTCAATGATTTCTTTTATCTTTGAGTGAGTGTCTGACAGGACTGCTCCCTGCCCCCCTCCCCTTCTTCGTGGGCTCAGTACAGTCTCTCCAATGGCTTTTAGGGAACATGTATTGGTGCTCTGTTTCCCTTAGCGCCTAATGGCACTTTCTCTGCTTTCTCTAGTGTTGATATCATAGAAATACCACAAGTGGGTGCTTTCATCAACAGAAACTCATTTTCTCACAGTTCAGGAGGCTGGAAGTCCTAATTTACGATGCCATCTTGAGGGATGGCTCTGTGGCTCACCGGTTAGGAGGAAGGGCCTTGTCTCCTTTCCTGTCTGTGGCCTGGCTTGCCTTGGAGATCCCCATGTGTCTTGACATCAGACTTGCCCTGGGTCTGGGAGGTTCCCAGCGCGGGGACTTGGGGCCAAAGACTGCGCTCTGTTCCTGGCTCATCTTTCCTCGTGGTTGTATGTTTCTCTCTCTGTTCCCTTTCCTTTCCTTTTATCTCTTGTAAGGTAACTTGTTGCAGGCCACACCCCAGGGAAGCTTCCCTTACATTGACTAGGGCTGTGACAGGAAATTGTTGGAGTGCACTATGGTAGCGTAGTGGTTACGAATCGGGCTGCGAACCACAAGGTCAGCAGTTTGAAACTACCAGCTGCTCTGCGGGAGAAAGATGAGGCGTTGTGCTCCTGTAAAGATTAACAGCCTCGGAAACCCTGTGCTGGGTCGCTATGAGTCGGAACTGACTCCACGGCACATAACAACAACAACAACAACTATAGGGTAAGCACTGGACTGCTAACTGCAAGTCAGCAGTTCAAACTTAACAGTCGCTCCTCCAAGGCCCTGTACAGGGTCACTAGGAGTCGGGACCAACGGGATGGCACATAACAACAACATCCTGCCATTAGTCCTCTTACAGCGGATTGGCGGATCACAATTAGATGACATCGTGGGGGGTGTGTGATGACTTCATTACATAATTGCCACATTGCGTCAGCACTTAACTGTCAAACCACTGAGGAAGTGGCCTGGCCAAATTGACGGATCTATTCAGGGGGACACAGTTTTCTTCATGACATACTTGAAATGTGTAACGAAACACACCAAGTGAGAGTCAGCTTGAATGTACTGGCAAGGCTGTGATGCAGGTGGGTCTTGAAATGCATTCATGGTTTGAAAAAGGATTTCAGGAACAGTGAGTTCCTGCTGTGTGTGTAACCCTGGTGGTACAGCAACCAAGCAGTCAGCTACTAACTAAGAGGTTGGTGGTTCAAACCCAGCAGCAGCAGGTCTGTGAGAGACAGGCCCTGCGGCAGTCTGCTCCCTTAAAGCCTGAGGCCTCGGAAGTTCTGCATAAACTGACACGGTCATAACAAGTGGACATGTGGACATGTGTGTGACTTCATGACTGCTTTGTTGATTAAACCAAATCCACTATTATCAAGTTGTTTCTGTCTCATGTTGTTGTTGTGAAGTGCCTTGGAGTCGGTTCTGATCCATAATGACCCTGTATAGGGTTTCTGAGGAGTAGCTGGTGAGCTTGAACTTCCAACCTTGAGGCGCAAACCGACTTTGCAGTCCGGTGCATTAACCCGTAGTGCCACCCCTGGACTTCTATCTCGTCTCTAGGGTTTCTGAGACTGTTGATCTTTACAGCAGGTGGGTTTGAACCACTGACCTTCTGGTTAGCAGCCCAGCACGTAACCCACAGCCCTCCTTGGTGTCATTCTGCTTGCCTTTTCCCCCTCAGTTCTGGATGGCTCCCCTTGCACCGCTGTGGGCACAGGGTTTACAAACCTGGAAGGACCTTTTGTGGGAGCTTGTTCCTAAGTTTCCCCAAGCTCTGCAAACCCGCAGACCTGAGGGTGGGAACTGGCCCTTGGCTGTGGCAGGGCAGCTCTGCCCCCTTCCTGTGACCTCAGCGGACAGGCTTCCTTTGCTCATGTTGAGTGGTGGGAATCCGTGATTTGTGGCAGACAGACCTCAGAGATCCTGTGGGTCCAGTTTCAGACCGCCTCCACCAAGCTCATACCACAATAAAGCAGGTCACTCTCCTGCCTTGGTTCCCCGGTGCACAGGAAACCAGTGGGGACAGTAGTCTGTCGTCTGCAAAGTAATCAACAGCATGAGGAAAGCTTGAAATACTGAGAGTGAGCAAAATGGGAAGCTAGAAACACGAAGCGAACACAGGCCGTCAGAGAGCTGCTGTGGATGGACCTGCTCCGTGCAGGGTTGCACATACCTTAGGTTTGCAAAAAGAAAACCCCGCACCAGCACAGTGCAGTGGAGCTAAGTGCCAGCAAGTTAGGGAACCTGTAGCTTTTTCTCAGCCGCCGCCTGGCGTTTTCACAACAGTGATTCGCAGGGGTCGACTAGTAGAAAAAGAGGTTGGAGACCTTGAATGAGTTTGAGTTTGGATTTCTCTTGTGATTCCAAGCATTTGGGGTTTCCTGCTGCTCTTTGAGAATAGGGATGTCCTTGGAGGTGGAGTGATAAGCACTTGACTGCAAACCAAAAGGTTAGTGGTTTAACCCTACCAGCCGCTGGAGAAAGATGAGACGGACCAGTCTGCTTCTGTGACGACAAACGGCCATGGAACTCCATGGGACACTTCTGCGCCATACACTAGTGTGGCCCCGAGTCAGTGTGCACTCAGCAGTGAGTCTGAGTTGTTCTGGAAGCAGATTACCAGGTCTTTCTGCAGCGCCACTGGGTAGGTGTGAGCCCCCTCCCTGCCATGGCATCACCAGGTCTGCATTTCAGTTTCTAAACCCTCCGCTCTGCCATCGAGTCCACGTCCTACTCAGAGCGCCCCTGTGTAGGCCTTCTGTCTCTATGGGAGCCGACAGCCTTGTCTATCCCGAGGAGTGGCTTGGCTGGCAGGTTTGAACTGCCCACCTCGTGGTTAGCAGTCCAGCGCTGGTTCCACGGTACCGCCAGAGCTTCTTGGAGTAGGACTTGGGGTTTTGGGAACCTGTCAATGTCTTCCGTTCCCTTAAAAATCTCTGCAGGCTTTTTGGTTTGTGTTCCGTGCCCAAGCCAAGCCCACTGAGTGAACTGAGTCAGAGTGACCCTCGAGGACAAGAGTCCAACTGCCCACGGGGGTGTCCGCGGCCGTGAATCTTGACAGAAGTAGGTTGCCACTTGTGTTTTCTGTGGAGTGGCTGGTGGGTTCAATTTTTTAAGTTTTATTGTGAATTATGTGATAGTTTACATGGGAGAACATTAGTTTTACATTCATCCTATCATATGTCTTTTCATTGCCATGGTTACATTTCCCTCTGCGCATTACCAACCAACTAAAGGGTACATCCTACAAGCCTGTCCCCCACCCCCCTGTCGTCAGCACACAGCTCCTCTCTCTCTCTGGGTCTAAAGCCCCCAGCTGCTCCATCTCTCCACATCATTGTCTCTACCTCCATCTCAGACATCACTGCTTCTCCGGGTAGGGCCCCACTCTCTGCTCTTCTCCCTTGATAGTCCCAGGGACCTCTGCAACTAGCCTGCAAAGTTAATCATTCCCCTCCTTGCTATAAAACGTCTACCTTTACGTTTCCAACCCTCACAATCAGTCCTGATAACAATTATTCACTATTGTATCATAAGAGACCTATCCCCATCTCCTTCATCAGCCCCGCCTAGACAGATTGGATACTACTCTGTGGAGATTCTACCTTCCTCCACACCCTCTGGATCTAGATTCCCTCTTGAAAGCTTGTAAGCCAGTCACTTCTTGCCTTAGTAGCCCCCCGCCTCCCCGATTTTGGATAGCCAATGTCCAAGTTGCCCATCCCTGTCTACTCTGTGTATGGAGGGGGTGGGAATGATCCTCGCTGTAAAGAATGGTTCCCTCTTTTGAGTTACTGCATCCATAGGTGT